GTGATGGGCCGCCGCTTACAAACCTATGATTTTGGGAAATATCTTCCGAGATATCAAGGTTTGAGGAGCCGATATAATATTATGGATTAAGCGTATAATCGTGTAATGGGAGCTATAATATGATTAAAAAAAAATAAGACTGTCGCATAGCCAAAAATTTAATCAATAGCACACTACACGTTTTATTCATAAGCCAATAATAGAGAAGATCTGAAAACGAAAAAACGTAATACATTTTTCTAATGTTTAGTTTGTCACAATGTGGAAGTGGATAGCTGTAATATTTTGTATCATTATCTACACTCAATGTAAGTATATAACTGTCTTTATTTGCCGATAAGGTGCACAACAGTAGGACGTAAAACTTTATTTATTTCATTTCATTTGTAAGTGTGTATATGTCTTTATATGATTATACTATTAAAACATATCGGTCATTTTTTCTATGTCATTTCCTCCAACTAGGAAGTACGAGAATTCTTCCCTTTTAATCTCTTGTCAAATAAATGACGAATTATTAAAACAATATTTTGTTTGTATTTGTCTGACTTCCTCCTTCATATATATACTGAAATTGAATTGAGCCTGTCACTTGCTATGAGCATTTGGTTCAGTCGGTTAGTTTTGGAAATTACGTAATATTTTTCAAAATTGACCATTATGCGCATGACACGTAATCGTGCTGATGAATATTTTCAAAAACGCACTCTCTTACCATTTTATATCCCCATTATTATATTGAGTGGCGGTTGACAACATTACGTCTCTTCATGATTGGCTTGAAAATTGCAATTTTATAAACTTTTGTTGTTCCAAGACCTGAACTAAGTTGAGATCTCCTCATCCCCAAAACCATGCATATCCAACACAAGGGCAACTAATTAAGTCTAATTATATTGTACAGGTGTTAAGTTTGGAGAAGATAATAGTTATACCTGTCACTGTATTAATGATGAACAATGTCATAGAGGAAGTGGTATTTGTGGTGGAGGTTGTGCTAGAGGATGGTCTGGACCTACTTGTCAAAAACGTAAGAACAATTTAGGACGAATTTAGAGGATGAAGGCCCCAATCTGGATTAAGACTGGTGCTTGAAATTTTCACCCCATATTGATTGCACTTTAGTTTGATATTGAGTTTAAATATATTTATGACAGGACAATATCCATATGTAATGGAAAAGATTTTCAATAAATTCTAATGTATTTTTTTTTTCACCACAAGATCACGGATATTTTTACTGAATTTGTTAACTGATTTTGCATTTCCAATATGGCAGACTTAATAACCATAACTACTGCAAATATTGACGAATGGCTAAAATATTACCAGATGTAAACACTTAACCTAAAGATATTATAATGTTGGTCACATTTCAGTGGTAGTAACAAATCCGAGTGAGTTTTTGACGACAAATTTGGATCAAAAGAAAGCCATACTTAAAAATTAAGTTACTTTATTTACAAAAAATAAATATATCACATTTAGTTTGTTTATTTGTTGTATATTTTATAGAAATGGCATTTAATGAATGATAAGAAATTCACTGCGTAATTAATAGCAGCTTAATTAGTTCTATCACCGTTATAAATGATGTAAATATTTTATAGAAAATGTAGCTCTTGGTAAACCATCAAGTCAGGTTGAAACAAACGGTAATAGAACTTCTGATTTAGCTGTAGATGGTGATAGAACTACTAATATACCTGCCAAATGTTCTGATACTAGTAGTGGTGATTCTACACGGTGGTGGAGAGTAGATCTACTAGAAGAATATCCCATTAAACATATTACCATCTATTATCAAAACAAACGTGAGCACCAAGTTATTTCTAGAAATTAAAAAAAACTCAAAACGTCAATAATAACAATATTCTTAGAATACCAATATATGATTCTGTAGCTTTAAGAAATAATTATTTCTGTTCATCAGTCCTGCATTCATTTTCTGGTTTCATAAAAAGAAAATTTGGAGAATATTCCTCTTCGACTTAAATCGAGCTGAAAATAACATAATAATACAAGACAGCCCAGTAACATTTACTCTGTGTATGGAGTGTACAGTACTAATCCCTATTTTAGTTTTGAAATAAGTTACTGTAAATCTGTTTCTTTGACAAACTCTGTCCTTTCTTTCCATTTTTCATCAAATCATTTTACAATAATAATATTTTGTGTTTCAGCTGAATGGGATAAGTAGAAATATTATCTTACTGTAAGAATGATTACTAATCAATAGAGGACATAACTCAAATTATGCATAATCCCTTTTTATAATTATTTCATGAAACTTCGTCTTAACCACAATTGGGTTAACTGTTGTCTAGTAAAGTTGCATGCTTGTATTTCAAAATAGATTTAAACCGATTCGTCAGTTCAAATAAACAAAATAAAATCACAATCCATTACCTAATGTCAAAAATCGGAAACGCTCTAAGACGCCACAAGTATGTATCTATGTTTCTTTTTCAAAACATACTTTCAGTCTTATCATCATTGAATGGATTTTCACTACATGTTGTTAAAGAGAATGAAACACCAGAACTATGTTATAAAGATGATAGTACGGGTGGTTATCCACCTGCAGTACATAATGTAGAGTGTAGTCAGGTTATAACTGGTCGTTATGTAAATATCAGTAATTTCCATACAAGAGAAGATGGAAGATTTTTTGTCGTATGTGAATTGAGATTTATGGTTAGATTTTATTCACTAGGATTTCTGAACAGTTTAAACGATTCAGACTTAACGACAAAACGACACGAGCTGTAGTTAAAGGCCTGTAATATCAGCATCATAGGAATGATATATTATAATAACTTTAAATATCATTCAAACAAAATAAATATGTAATATCAATACCAAGTTAAATATTTTAATTATCAGTTATATCAATGCCATCGATTTAAATCTTGTCCATGGGAAGAGTCAATGGACCTTTGGTGTGTAATGTAAAATAATGTCATTAATGAATTGACTATACTTATATCTACATCTTTACAATTTAATTTCACTTGATTTCAGTATGTTCTAACGGAACATTTGGTTCAAATTGTACCAACTTCTGTCATTGTTTAAATAAGGAAAGATGTTTAGAGAATGGTAAATGTCCTGGTGAATGTGCTGATGGATGGGCTGGAACAACTTGTAATCAAAGTATTTTGTATTTCTTTATTATGTGTCAATAAAAGTAACAACTAATGATATTATGTTCAATGTCTGTCATCATCATTTTTTGTGTTCCTTGTAGAAAATCAGTATTCCATGCTGAGGAGGGTTGTTTTTTTTCATATTTCAAATTAAACTAAGGTGTATCATTGAACACAGTATGCATTTGTCTGTCTTCATCTAATATGGGAGGACAAAAAGCAGAATTCTTATTCCATACTAGTGCGCATAAAACATGTTCGATGTAATGCAGCCTTATATCTTTGTTCACCTTTTAGTTAACATCTTTATAATCTATGTTTGTTTTTTAAATAGAATGTGAAGATGATGTTTATGGAGTGGGATGTAGTAAGAAATGTTCAGATAGAAAATGTAAAGATAATAATTTACAATGTGACAGTAAAACAGGAGAATGTATTGATGGATGTCAACCAGGATACCAGTCAATAGATTGTACACAAGGTAAAATTTTGAACTAAGTTACAGTACTTGTTGCCAATTTGTATACAATCATGTTCATGGTGATCACCTCACCTCCCTGCAGCAGTAGACTTCAGAATTCGGTTCTCTTTCCCTTAAAGTATATATTATGTTCTTTTATTTAACTGAATATATTTAATGACGATATATGAATTTGGAAAAGCTTCTTCTTAGTAAGCCCTCCTTAATATTATTGTTTAGTCGATCATTAGGTACAATTTCTATTCTTATCACTGGTCGGTATTCATGTTTTTTTTAACCTCCTAAGTAAATCCGGTTACAAAGATAGATATTGAGTTATATTTATTTAGTTATTGGTTATTCATCTTTTTGTAATATCCCGATCGATCTAAACTATGTTGACATTTGAATTCTTTAGAATGTGATGAAGGAAAATATGGACAAGACTGCCAGTTTAACTGTTCATCACGATTCTGTCACAAGATAAATGTAGTTATATAGATGGAGCTTGTGACTGTTTTGATGGATATCTAGGAGTGGATTGTACATGTAAACAAGCGAATACAGGTTAGTTCTACGTAAGTATGGCGTCTATCTGCAGTCAAATTGAATTTTTTTTATCATCATTTTAGTTGGTCATATGTTTACTAAACATTAACCCAAAAAAGAATTCTATCCCAGTAAGCCATATGTTGCATTTGCTCTAGATGCTAAGTGTTTGAATTACAAGAATAAGTAAGGCATAGACCAGCAAAACTAAATAGCTATATTTTAATATGAGCATAATATTATACCTTTATTTCGAGTCCTTGTTATTTGAATTTGCAGGAAATATTGATCAGACCTCGACTATAATCGGAACATTAATTTTGGGACTAATTATTGGATTTGTGGCTGGATCTCTCGTGGTTCTGTTTTTAATGAAACGAAGGTAAGACACGATATCATGACTATTTAAATGGGTATTATGATTTTTCCGTAGGTCGAAATTTTGCTCAAATTTATGAAAATAAACACTTCATTATAGAGAAATGTGTCCCTTAACTTAAGTTTTGGCTTAAAAAAATTTCTGGCATTAATTTTTAAACAACAAAACTATTTAAACGGTTTTCTGTTAACTCGTTATGTGTTTTCGGTAGGTGTTAGATAACTACTGTACGAACAAAATTAACGCCTAATTGTAGAGAAATATGTTTACTTCGTATGCCAAAGGTACCAAGGCCCAACAGCATAATTGGTATAAGCTGCTTCCTTCTCAAATATGACACTTTATTTTTAATTACTCCTTTGAAAAAGAATTCAGTTTGATCAAGGGTATTACATAGATGTAATAGCATATTTTAGAAATATTTTCAGGTGTATTTTATGATGCTTTTGTTAATAAGAATTTTTTATACTGCCCCTTTAGATAAAATAATCGGTTGAAACATCGACTGAACCTTTCACTTTGGATCTTTTGGGGACTGGAGAACGCCCACCGTCTAGAACTCCTTATGTTACTATGCTTCGTGGCTATCACATAGCTAATAATGTCAATTAGTGTATTATGTTAGTAAAACATAAATATATTCTTTACATTAATTATAGGTCAAGATCTAGGTCAAACCCGTCACAAACAGTAAGCACTGACCAGTCAAATAGCAATATACCACAACCAGAAACAACCATTTACTCAACTGTTCAGCAACATCAGTAACAACCAAGATAAACCATATGGTCAACTTACCACTGCTTATCAACATGAAAACGCCTATGAACTTCTTAGGAAAGCTGAAGGAAATGTTTCAACTAAATAGTATTATTTATGAACAGTATTTATCAACTATCGTTTTATTACTACAAGACTCGATCTTCGACTGTCCCATTGATTCGCTGTTTTATGAAAAGTGTTTGTTTATATTAAGTTGATTTTAATGTTACAATGTACAGATTTTGTATATAAATTGAATTTCACCACAATTACACAATTCCTGTGTCAAATGCAGTCTGTCACAACAAGACCCTTGTTAGTGATGTTCCTTCATTGTTAAAATAAATTAACTTCTCTATTTATCTGCTCCTATTCTATGTGGAAATCAGATGGTATGGTAAAACTCCGGGGGAAAGATATTTTGTTTATGATGTAAATTAGAATATATAGAGATAAATTCCATTTCCCATTTCTCTGATGTCCAAGTATATTTATAATGTCGTTTATAGTGGTACAGCTATTTCCCCGTCCTTACGTAAAATAGTTGTTGCCAGCCTGCCTACATACATACATACATATATACATTGTTTGTATGTTTGTCATTTTCTGTTTTCATGTATTAATCTTGATTGGATATGTTTTTAATGTTATGATAGCTTTTCGTGTTGTTAGTCAAGATTTGTTATCAATATTTAATATTTTATATATTTATGTTGCATTTCGTATTTTAAGTCAATTTTTGTTATCAATATTGAACATTTTACATAAGTAATACTTATGTTGCTTTTAGTATTAGGTATTAGTGTCATTTATTGTATATATTGCTTGTCATTGTTTGGTAATTGTTTCGCTTAATAAAATATATTACTACTTGAATTTATTAGCACCTTAAATCGGATGAATGGTGTACCTACAGAATTCTACCTTAAACTTTGTTATTTTTTGAACGAGGTCTTTATGTAAATTTAGTTTGACTGTAACAACTGTATCGATCGTCGCTGTTGAGACACGATTTGATCCTCTTGGTTTACCTTGTACCTGGATTATTAATCGCCTACAAATATGCAGATACCACCTTGGATAGTCCACAATACTATTCACATTATCGCTTGCAAAAATTATCAAGTATGATTGTGGACAAATTCATCAAAGATTAAGAGTCAATTGTTAATCACACATTTAAAGACATATTATATTTCTTTCAAAAGATTTAAAAAGTTTCTTTGTCGATTCTTATCATTTTTCAGTATAATGAATATTACATTTCAGATTGTTCACTATTCAAAACATATACAACAACAGTTTTTATTATGCATTTTGTTAAGTAAATATCAATACTATCCAGACCAGACTATTTAGATAATACAAGAGGAAAGGTGCGGGGGTTAAACATGAGGTGTTTCTCCGAGGCGAGGCCCGAAGCTACTTGAGGCTGGGGGTTGCAAAAAAAAAGACTTCACATGCCTGAAAAATGGGGGGTGTTATTGCTTATTACTATTTATACCAATTTGGAAAGCTAAGATATATTGAAAGTTACCCCCCTTGCCACGTGTCAGAGACGCAGGTTAGAAAGGCAGCTTGTGAATGTTACATGCCTATCGGCCCATGCTGCTGAGAGGACAAAATCATTCTCATTTAAGTCGTTTACGCTCATTGTAAGCTTCATCTCCAATTTAGTTGACACCATTTCATTAGACCTACCAGATAGAAAAAAATAGATCGTAAATTCCCATTACACTTCAACACAAGTCAGTGTGTTTGTAACAATAATATCTCTTTGAAATAGCCATAAAAAATTGCTTTCATTTAATATGCATATTATATAGTATTCATATATTTCTCAATGCAAAATAAAACCCTAATATATATTTTTGTAAAATCTTGACTGACGAGTTTCAATCAGGTTCAACTACTTTGTTTAGATATGTAAGACCGTAATCAGTTCTTTGATTTCGGAAAAAGGGAAAGTAAACTTGGAGGAATAATCGTAGTTTGTCAGTGACATGGAAAAGTTTTTTCCTCAAGTAATCAGCAAGCGAATTGAATGACGATTTAAAAAACATTGTTCAATCATGGTAAAATATAGAGGCGGTGACGATGCAGCCGTTCAGAATGACATGACCAACATATTGCAAAACATAAAATGTAAATATCAGATATTAATACTGAATCACTATTTGGGTAGGTAACAATTCACCTCACGGTCAGGTTTTTAATTATTTTGTAAATTAAGGACACATTTCAGTCTTCATTTTTTTGTAACTGGGGTAAAAAAGTGAATGGGATACCAGTTTATTAACCTAAGATTTCGGGAAGTACCTTCAGAGATTTTAACCCGGTCCCCATCTCCCTCTGATGCAGGTCGGGGAAGCTGATAATTTTATATTATGTAACAAGCGTCAATCGTTCAAATAGCTCTATAATATGATAATAAACCGAGGTCTCGTGTCCGTTAACAGAGAAAATTGGAAAGAAATCTGTATTATATTATTCGATACAGGTGTTAAATTTGGAGATGATAATAGTTATACCTGTCACTGTATTAATGATGAACAATGTGATAAAGAAACTGGTGAATGTGGTGGAGGTTGTGCTGCAAGGTGGTCAGGACCTACTTGTCAAAAACGTAAGAACATTTTAGGAAGTATTTGAAGGATGAAGGCCCCAATCTAGATTAAAACTGATGCTTCAAATTTTCACCCAGTATTTATTGCTGTTTAGTTTCCTTGCGATATTATATTTGACATTGTGATAAAAAAATAAATCTATGATAGGACAATATCCATATTTAATAGAAAAGATCTTCAATAAATTCTAATGACAAAATATTTGTGTTTTTCACTACAAGATCACGGATATTTTTACTGAATTTTTCAACTGATTTTTCATTTGCCAATATGGCAAACTTCGTAATCATAACTACCTGATGTAAACATCCAGAGATATTATATCACATTCCAGTGGTATTAACAAATCCGAACATGTTTAAGGCACACGATCGGTCTTGGTCGGAGATATTTGTCATAATCCAATCAAAATTCATTTGCCTTTCAATGGCATGCTCCGAACGTGATTGTCGACGAGGTCGAAAACAACCCACAGAAGATTTTTGTCTCCTCGTGTGCCCGTGCCAGTCGTTGAAACTTGAAACAAGACTCTAATCGGCGACAAAAGTCTTAGACCGTGTTAATTAGTTTTATCACCGTAAATATTTTATAGAAAATGTAGCTCTTGGTACTGATACTAGTAGTGGTGATGGTGGAGAGTAGATCTATTAGAAGAATATCCTATTAAACATATTACCATCTATTATCGTAACGAACGTGAGCACCAAACTCATACAATCATAAAGTCATAAAATATCAATATTCTAAGAATACAATATATGATTCTGTAGCTTTAAGAAATAATTATTTCTGTTCATCGGTCCTGCATTCATTTTCTGGTTCCATAAAAAGAAAATTTGGAGTATGTTCCTCTTCGACTTAAATCGAGCTGAAAATAAAATTATAATACAAGGCAGCTCTGGAACATTTACTCTGAAATATAGTTAAATTAAGTCGTCATTCGCATCATCATCATCATCTCCCTTTCAAAACCAAGGTACAGTCAAATCAAGATGAGTTATATGAAATCAAATAATATTATCATCATCACAATCAATATCAGTAGCAACATAGCACCATTATTTTATTCCTGAAACCTGTTAACCTGAATGAGATTGTTCATTACAGGATGCTCTTGATAATAATTCATTTTTGAGGAAACCCACAACTGTCCAATGTGGTGATATTGAGAACGAATTAAAAAACTGCAACAACATCCTGGAAGGTGAAGTATATATGGGTGCACAGGAACAGTTTTATTTTGAAACGCAGTCTGCTATAGCCATACCGAAAGAACATGGTGAAATGGATGTGTATTCCTCCACACAATGTCCTACCGCTATACAGGTATTTAATATTATTCCAGTTGAATAGAGCCTTATGTTACCGGGTTCGGATAGGACTAAAAACTAATTTGAGCGGACAATTTCACTGTCAATTGTATTTTTGCGGACAATTTCACTGTCAATTGTATTTTTTGTTCGCAACAAAATACATTACAGCTGTGTACCAAGACATTTGTGTGTTTTCCTTATCCTATTAAAACCACGCTTCTGAAGATATGACATCTCACAATTTTGTTGACTATGTTTCGTTCTTTTCCAGGCGTCGATTGCCGATATTATTGGTGTTCCTTCCCACAAAGTGAGATGCCTGCTCAAAAGAATAGGTAAACAGTCATTATTCTACGAACCATGCATAATGATGTACAATGTATTTGTGATCATCAAATTCATTTATGGACACTATTTAAGCACTACTGATTATCAATGGAGTACACAACCTAACATCTGCTCCTGTCTCAAACATTCAAAAGTTGTATTAAGAAGTTTTGAACTTTTTATTTTTACATGTTACTTGTTACACTTACCATCAATTGTGAATTCTAGGCGGTGGGTTTGGTGGAAAAGAGACGCAATGCGTAAATGCTGTTGGAATGGCTGCTACAGCTGGTATTAAGTATGTAATACTTTTCTAAATATAAGTTTTTTTTAATTTTCATTCCATTCTGTCTATTCTTCTGCTAGTTGGTCTATTCAAAATATTCTTTTTTTTGCAGCCAAAATTGTCCACAATCTGACCTACTTAGGAGGAGACTGAATTACATCTTCGGTTCAAGATACACGTTTGGAAGCTTCTGCTAGTATATGGTTATATGGGGCCTACTAGCTGTGTGGTATCTGAGGGTACTTGCGCGTAATTCTGCCTCAGAAACGTGTCGATCGCTCAAGGAATTTCCGTGATTCGTCCAAAACCCAATTTGCCATAATCCCACGAAAAATGTCAGAGCTTTCCTCTCAGCTGAAAACCTTTTACTGGATGCATGTTTTTTTTTGTGATACCAGGTTTAATTGTCCAGTGCGTTGTGTATTAGATAGAGAAGATGATATGGTCACAACTGGAACCAGACATCCTATTTTGGCTAAATATAAGGTATGAAAATACTGCGCAATAATAATGATGCATTTAAAAAATGATGATGCTGTTGTTAATTTTGATGGTGATGATACAGTGTTGAAATAATTTTCGTATTCTCTTTCATTATTCTTGTCCATTTCTTTCCATTCTATGCCCAGATAAAGTGATTTAATGACTGCATCTAGATATTTTTACTACAAAACTGTAGATTACAACGGGCATACTTTATTATATATATATTTCAGGTCGGATTTTCAGAAGATGGCAGACTACATTGCTTGGATATCAACACATATTTCAATTGTGGTGATTCTCTAGATCTTTCGGAACACATGAGTTTAGCTTTGCAAGCTACTTTTATATAGGATTTATTGAATTGGCGCTCCACAAGAATACATACTGTTGCAAGTAGACATTGTCATCCAAGAAAATATGTAATTTTTACGTAGTAAACTTATCAACAATTTGACTATGCCTATTCTAAAGACCAAACATGGGAACAAATTTATAATGTCGGATTATCTTGTAAGTTTCTTCTATAAAGGTGATGATGGTTGTACTAAACAAGGGCAATAACTGTTACAATATTCCAAACTTCCGAACAACTGGTCATCTATGTAAAACAAATATCAGATCTAAGACAGCTTTCAGAGGGTTTGGTCTTCCACAAGGAGTATTTACCACTGAAACAGTGATGCAACATATAGTTGAATCCCAGGGTTGGGGTCCATTAAAGGTAAGACAATATAAGAGCAGGAGTTGTCCTCAAATCTTGTTCATAAAAAAAGGAAAAATCGATGGTACAACATACAGACAAATTTGAAAAATTAACCTAGTCTATCGAAGATCAATATTTTTTTAAAATTTAAATCTACATCATTAACAATCTGGAGAGATGCGGTGCACTGTGCATTTATATTTCCCATTTTTGTAGATTCTACAACTAAATTTCTTTAAAGAAGGGGATAGAGCACATATTGATCAAATTATCAAGGGTTGTCATGTTCAAGATTGTTGGGATGACTGTTTGAAACAGAGTAACTACAAAGAAAGAGAACAAGAAGTCAAAAGATTTAATAGGTAATGGTGAATAAAATAAACGATATTTTGTCCTGGATCAATCCTACATCAGTTTTTTTCGGTGGTCCTGGACCAGTACCTGCATGGTTTTTCTCCCTTGTTCATTTTGTGGTGGTCCTGGACCAGTCGAGCATCAGTTTATTTTTTTTTCATTTTGAGGTTGTCCTGGGTCAGTCCTGCATCAGTTTATTTTTATTCATTTTGTGGTGGTCCTGGACAAGTCCAGCAGCAGTTAATTTTAATTCATTTGTGGTGGTTATGGATCAGTCCAGTTTTTCTCTGTTCATTTGTTAATTTAATCTTGTAACAATTTTTTGTGTATGTATTCTTAACGTTAATTTTGGGAATTTTCAGAGAAAATCGTTGGCGGAAGAGGGGTATATCTATAATGCCAATGCAATTTGGAATTGGTTTCGGGAGAATGAGCATGAACCAGGTTAGTTTCTAAGTATGATTGCATCTTGAAATGTAAGAGGACGTAACATTAATGCAAATAGAAAATAAATATATACGAACGTAAATTCAAACGAATTTCCCATAGTTTTCATCAACAAAGAATCTTTCGAGTTTTTACTTTGGATGAAAGTATGACTTCACAGTATAAGTGTACATTTTGTCTTTAATGGTAAAAGTATTTTCGGGACGTCTTTGTTAATTATTTTCAAACTGGATTATCTTTATGTGAATTTCTAGGGTGGGGCATTCGTCAGTATATATACTGACGGTTCAGTCTTGCTGGCTCACGGTGGAGTTGAAATGGGACAAGGTATCAACGTGAAAATGATTCAGGTGAATTTAGAATTAATTTAAAACTAATGCTTAGGCCACAATTATATGCCAGTGCAGCATAAACCAGATCGCTTAAATCATACCATAAATAAACCAAATACTAAGGATACGAAACCCGAAATCCAAACAACAGCTGTGTAACATACACAGTCAAATAGTGTCTTGAAGCAACTGATATATTATAAGAAATAATGTTGCCCATAGTTCTGGGACAATGCGACAATTGAACGCTATTACAGGTTAACAAATTTTATAAATTTAACGACCAAAACTGCAAATATCTATCACCAACAATCCTCATCAAAGATAAGTTAGTATTGTGTCTGAGAGCTTGCAGTGCGTTTACTGAATCAGGTACATGGTCGACTGTAACCAGCTTTTAATTGAAGTCTTTTTTTTATTGTTATTTTTAGTTCTAAAGATGATACATTTTATTTCAGGTAGCAAGTGGTACACTTGGAATACCAACTAACAAGATCCATATTATAGAAACAGGAACGAACACAGTCCCGAATACTAGTGCCACAGCAGCTAGTACCGGTACAGATCTGAATGGAATGGCAGTTAAGGTGAGATACGAAATATCCTGGACCCTATTGAAAATCAGAAAAGTTATTGACCTTGTTCTTGAAAACGAGTTCAATTTTCAGCTTGTAAACACCTTAAAAGACACAATTCTTGCTAGATTTTGACAAAACGTGGTAATATAAATCATTATCATCCCACAAACATCAAAAGAAGTGTATGACTGAAGGTTGAATATTTCATACTGGTGATTGTAATTGTTCTGCAAAATATTTCTATTCAAAATTAAAGCTGCCAGTGGGCGTATATTACCTTGACTGGAAAACTATCTTGATGGAATTTGTGCATAATATGCAATCTTGTTGTTATATCTAGAATATGATTAAGAATTTCGAATTTAATTTTGTTTTAAATTACCTTTTAAATTTTTCGTGACATTTAATTTTCAATGTAGAAAGTCATATTCTTGGATATGCTGATATTGTTCTTTTTACCATATGAAAATTTTGATTTTGGACGGATCTGCCACAATTTTTTTTTTCAAATTATTCATGTCGTTTTTCAGCGATTTATGTTAATAATAAACATTATCATATTCATAATATACTCGTTATCCTCTTTTCAACAATATGTGACATTTATGGTTAAATACAATAATTAAAATTATTAAAGCCTGTCACATGAGAGGCTCCAAGAGGTCGGGAGCTCAGCTGAACCTGAAATTTATGTTTGACCTTGTCTGCCTTCAGAAGAACAACCTTACACGAATACCTATGTATTTACACAGTTGATTCTGTGGATTTCAAAAACGGGGAAATGTGGCCATTTTGACCAGTAATGTAACAGGGATGAAGTCGGAACGATCTTCGGTTGTTTTCTTCGACGTGCGGAAATTAAACTGCATGACTATCATGAATTAGTTTTTTAAAACTGTAATTAACCAACCATATGTTTATATAGTTTATATCATATCATATAAGATGTTTAGCTAGGTTTCCTTCTTGCAGGATGCCTGTGAATAAATCAACAGAAGGCTCGAAAAGTATAAAAAAGTTGACGGAAGCAAATGGGAAGATTGGGTTAGTAGAAGTGTTATTTCCAGCATAGTAAGGCCTTAGATTCAAAGAGTAGCTCTGGCTGATTTCCGAAATTAAGTAGTTTACCAATACACCACTTCTGGCTGGAAATGTCTGAAAATAAATTTAAAGTAAAGTTTCTTTAATTTGCAGATAACTGAGGCACATGAAGATCGGGTCAGTCTCTCAGCTACGGGGTTTTATAAGTAAGTTGAACTGAAGCATAACGAAATATTATAGTTCTACTAATTATTCCAGTCTGGCGAGCTGTACAAATTTAAATTCAAACACGTAAACCCAGGCCAGTTGGGTCGTAGTCCCTACTGTTACCCTTGTTTTGATAATGTTTCTGATATATCTGATGTTGTTTATTCATTCTTAAAAAAGTCTTTATTTGTTCTGTGTAATATTTTTTTAAGAACACCGGACCTTGGATATGACCAAGAAACAGATAGTTACAACACATATGATTACTTTTCATTTGGTGCTGGTTGTTCCGAGGTGGAGATAGATTGTTTAACTGGCGACCATACTGTAAGAATATATTTATCTACTCATATCTATGTGCGGTAACCTACATTGTTCCTTTCAAAATTATGTCAATGGGCAATTTATACGAGCGTATAATTAAGTAAATTACTTTCTGGTGATATTTCTTTAAATCATGGTGGCAATAAACCAATTTCTGGGAATATTTCGTCACTCAATAACTATATTGACCTCAAACCAGTGGAGGTAAATGCATATCGGTATAGTCCTCATGGCATATAATTGCACATACTGCTGTTTGATATATTTTCAGATTTTGAGAACAGATTTGGTAATTGATATAGGATTTAGTTTGAATCCTGCTATTGATATTGGTCAAGTTGAAGGTGCTTTTGTTCAGGTAGAATATTTTAACTGCCAAAATGTCGGATTGAGGTTGATGACATGTTCACAATGCAAATTCATACGACCGTAAAGTGACCATTGGTATTTTATCAAATTGTAGCCCCTTCAGCACTTACACGTTGCAGTACTAGACTGTTACGGACATTTCTAGAAATTGTGGTATTCAATTAAGTAACGTTTCCATAAATCCAGTCAACTAGCTACGTCCAGAAATATCTTACCCGGAAGGCTCAAGGCTAAGCAGAACTGGCATAATTATGTAAGTGTTCTCTGTTAAGAATAGCTCTGATCGACGAAAGACATCCTTTATAATACATGTGTTTTAGTTATGAGTTTGATTTGATTCTATGACATGTCTCAAATTTCAGGGATGTGGGTTGATGATGTTGGAGCAGTATAAAGTATCACAATCTGGTAATCTATTAACTCGTGGACCAGGTACCTATAAACTACCATCAGTCGGTAACATACCCAAAATATTCAACGTGTCCTTCCTTAAAGATAAACCTAACCCAAGAGCTATATACTCATCTAAGGTATTTATTTTTTGAAAAGCATCTTCTACTTTTTATAGGTTTATATTGCGTAATTTACAAACTGTGAGAACTGGGTTAATTTTTTAATGACATAAATCCTTCTTGGCTTCTTGAAATATATGTTTCTGACCGGAGCTGTATGTAGATGGAGACATACCTCACCTTGCCGCCCTTTTTGTTTATTTACCCCATTACTTTTTATAGTGGTAATAAGTGGTATATCAGGGGTCACTACCTTTTGAGGGATAGCTCAGTATTATGCCAATTGTCACTTTAAAAGACAGGCTCTTGGTGAACCACAAAATACTAGCAATATCCCTTATCTTTTCTACCAGATGGTAAGTCAGTTATCGTGGCATAGCTCACACGTATGCCCCATGCCACTTGATCTTAACTTCAATTTAGTTTTTCATAATCAACAGGCTATTGGTGGACCACCATTATTGCTGGCAATATACGTTTTCTTTGCTACCAAAGCAGCCATATCGGCGACAAGAACAGGACAGGAATTAGAAGGGTACTTCCGGTTAGATTCACCAGCTACACCGGATGTTATTAGAATGACGTGTCAGGACCAGTTTACTAAACAGGTGCGTAGTCTCTTATTCACCCCTCCCGTTGCAATAGAAATTTAAATAAATTTTCGGAAAGCAAGTATACATATGAAGTATATATGGTGAATGTCAGTACATGCAGGTATTTACATAAGGTGCCAATTAAAACTCATCTTCCTTACGGAACGACCTATCAATGATCGAAATCATCTGAAACCTTTTTAATTTATTGTATATGTTACCCTTGAGTGTTATTACTCATCTTATACTTGCTTTTTTTCAGTTTCCCATAAAAAGAGAAAATCAGTCAAAATCATGGTTCGTTAAACAACTTTGAATATAGTACCACAATCAACACCAGCATAAATGTATATTTCGCCTGGTCAATAAATTGATATTTTAGCATATATTCAAATGATACACATTAATATTTTCTAGGTACTAATTGTTATACGTTATTTTTTGTCAGTATATTTTGATGTTTGATTAAAAGTAGATCTGATTTTTTTTGTGTTTAACTTTTCTGCGAGGGACTCCACATAGCTTTCGCGGTTACGTGGGAAGACCTACATTTACTTTTCAAATCTTTTTGTGTGATGTAACGACTCGATTTTCAAATCCATATTTACTTGACTGATTTCGGAATTGAACCAAGATCTTTCGATGTTTACATCTCAAAGTGTTTGTACAGAGGAGTGATTTTGTAAACTAAAATGAAATGATAGGTTTCCTAAGGTAATAATCTATCGAATTTATCCTATAATAAATCCTATACCCAGCATCAATTAATCAGTATTCAATTAGGCGTATAAAAACACTTTGTGCAAACATGGTAAAATAGAGAAATGAGGATGACACTATGATAGACAAGATCAACAATGTGAATAACTTTCAAAAATAACTTAAATTTCAGATATTAATACTGAATCATTATTTTGACCCCCTCCCCTTTGGTTTCAGAGGAACAGTGGTACCAAAATCCATTTTTGGGTTGAATTTTTTTGGTCTCGGAAATCGATGAAACACAGTTTTTTGGACTCGTGCTTCTCTGCTGTTCAAATTTCAACTTCCTATCTCAAGTGGTTTGGTCGTGGTGAAGCTGCAAAGTTTGGATTTTCAAAAAAGGCAAAATTGGCAAATTTCAACAGGTAACTACCTGTGGTACCAAAATTCATTTTTGGATCGATTTTTTTGGGTCTCGGAAATCGAGAAACCCAGTTTTTTGGACTGGGTGCTTCTCTAGCTCTACCCCAATGTGCATAAAAGTGAATTCTGAGCACTTTTTTTTTGCGGAAAAGTGCCAAAAATTCAAGTTTTTCATGGAAAAAAAATAAAGCGCTCAGTGCTTCCAAAGTAAGGCAGATATGGAATCACAGTTTGTGGCATTACAAAGCTAAGATTTCAAACTAGTTGCTGTGTAAATTCCAACCTCCTATCTCAAGTGGTTTGGCCGTGGTGAAGCTGCAAAGTTTGGATTTTCAAAAAAGGCAAAATTGGCAAATTTCAACAGGTGGTACCAAAATACATTTTTAGGTCGATTTTTTTTGGTCTCGGAAATCGATGAAACCCGGTTTTTTGGACTCGGTGCTTCTCTAGCTCTCCCCCAATGTGCATAAAAGTGAAGCTGCGAAGTTTAGATTTTCAAAAAAGGCAAAATTGGCAAATTTCAACAGGTGGTACCAAAATCCATTTTTGGGTCGAATTTTTTTGGTCTCTGAAATCGATGAAACCCGGTTTTTGGACTAGGTGCTTCTCTAGCTCTCCCCCAATGTGCATAAAAGTGAATTCTGAACACTTTTTTTTTTTGCAGAAAAGTGCCAAAAATTCCGGTTTTTCATGGACAAAACTAAAACGCTCAGTACTTCCAAAGTAAGGAAGATATGGAATCGCAGTTGTGTCATTGAAAAGCTAAGATTTCAAACTAGTTGCTGTGTAAATTTCAACTTCCTATCTCAGGTGGTGTGGCCCTGGTGAAGCTGCAAACTTTTGATTTTCAAAAAAGGCAAAATTGGCAAATTTCAACAGGTAGCTACTTGTGGTACCAAAATCCATTGATGGGTCGAATATTTTAGGTCTCGGAAATCGATGAAACCCGGTTTTTTGGGCTCGGTGCCTCACTAGCTCTCCCCCAATGTGCATAAAAGTGAATTCTGAGCACTTTTTTTTTGCGGAAAAGTGCCAAAAATTCCGGTTTTTCATGGACAAAACTAAAACGCTCAGTGCTTCCAAAGTAAGGCAGATATGGATTCGCGGTTTATGGCATGCAAAGCTAAGATTCAAA